ACACACACAAAACTATTTTATTTTTGTCCACCCTGCACCAATTTGAATCAACATGTGATTTTTGGAATCAGTTCAGCTAGAGTAATCCAAAAATTGAGACAAACTGAGGGTGCTCTATTTAAAAAAAATGACGGTGACGTCATTACTCGAAAGTAATTCATCCTGTAAATTAGAATATTATTTTGAAATACTCGTATGGTTCTGAATACTTTCATTTCTGTACTTGAAAAATCAAGTGTTTCGACAGGAAACCCTTACCTTGGTCAAGATTCTAAAATGTATAAGATTAGGAACAAAAAGATACTGTAAAATATATAAAAATTCAATTTTGACCTCCTCTGTACGGGCTCTACTTTTATTAAGATCTGTTTAAAAGCTCTTGCCTATTTTTATAAGTTTCCCCCTCTGCATAAAATTTCAACTTGGTCCTCTTCACACAACTTCTCGAATCATCTCAATCTGCACCTGCAACATTCGAAATAGGTTACTATTGTGGAACTAAGCTAGGTTTTAAAATTGACTTCAAGTTTATGATCTTAACGCGTGTCTAAAATAGTATATTATAAGATAAAACGTAACTTACGAGTATGGTATTCCTGTTTTGCATGGTTCAATATTTCCTCTGTAATTTATATATTCTTCACCACGACATCTAGCTTTCTTAATTCGATTAACCGTATATTCTTAGGGCAAGGAAAACCTTTCTTTCGCTTCGTGCTATCTGCTTCTACTTCAGACACTTTTACTTTCTGACATTATTTCGAAACATAAGTTAAATCACTTTACCAAAACTTAACTGAAGAACAATATTTTATTTTATTATTTAACTGTTGATTATAACGTAAAACAACAAAAGGTTAATTAATTTCCTGACAGTGAACACCTGTCAACAATCAACTAACCGCGCAATATTGCCAACAGTGATTTTATTTAGTATTTTAAAATTGGTAAAACAGTCATTCCAGTCTTCAGTTGACACTTCTTGAATTCTTGATCTTTGGAAACGTGAAATCGTTGGGACTTAGGTCAGGGCTGTACGGTGAATGGTTTAACAATTCGATGTTTGAAGCTCCAAAAACTCTATTGTTAACGTTCTTTGAGCTTCCTTTGTTGAACCGTTCCAATGTGGTTCGACACCAATTGATGCAACCAGTTTTTACTCTTCTGTGAGCAAATAAGGGATCCAACGGGAACCCATCTTCGTAACACACCAGTTCTTTATATAGGATCTTTTGGATCGAGGACTTTGAAATTCCCAAAGATGCCTCTATCTCCCGGTATGTTACACGGCGCGGCGGTCATCCTTAATTAGCTGACGAATAGCATAAATGTTTTGCTGTGTGACTGCTTTTTGGGCGGACCTGGCCTGGATTCGTCGCTGAGACTGGAGCGACCATGTTGAAATTCGCAGTACCACCGGGAAATAGTTGACTGGTGTGATGCTTCATTCCTAAATACAGAAACCATTTCAGCGAGACATTGCTGTTGGGATAATCTTATCCGAAAATTGTAAAAAATTATTTCTAGAAAATATTCTCGGTTAAGATCCATTTTTCGACCGACTTGCTAATTTCAAAAATGTACTGTATCTACACGACTTGTTGTATCGCAATGAAACTCTCTCTTTATATCAACAAAAGATTGTGGTTACATTTGTGTCGAAAGGTTCTGATCATGCTAAAACGATTTGGACTGAGGCTATCCTCGTGCCTGTTTCCTATCGATAAGTTTATTTCTTCGATTTGTCATATTCGTATCTTTCTATTTTTTGTTTTATTGCGACTGTTAAATGTTTTTTATTGACATTTTTCTGCTTCATGATTTGAAACGTCTTTCAATTGGAGTCTGTCAAACGCATTTGTAACATTTACAAAGTACAGGAAAAGGGGTTATGTCGGATATATACGGCTGATATGTCCACTGTGTTAATTAACTTCTGTTACAAGATTTTTGTTAGCAATTTGGATGTATACTGCAGCAGCGTTATTTCTCTGTAATTATGTAGGTCGGTTTTTAGTCCTTAAAAGCCACACTCTAGCATGTTGTTAAGATGTTCTTGAATAAATATATCTATTTTCCAAAGGATCTATTGATGTCTCCAATAATCAAATGATCTTTGATTTTTTTTATAATTAAAAATTTAAACGAGAAGGGTTCCGTACTTAGTTTGTTCTTTATTTTATCAACTGATCAGTATCCTCCTTTACCTGATTGTTTTAGGTCTTATGCATCATTTCACTGATTTTGTCAGATACGGGCAAGTTGGAAGTTTAAACGCGGACGTATTTTTTTAATTCACCACCTAGGCAACTGCATCTAATTTCATCGGAAAATAGAAAATATTCAATACGGAAGTCTTTACTTAATTCACATTCCTAGCGGCCGTCATGTAAGCCTCGTTTTTATAGGATTTCAGTTTAAATTAAATAGCGGTATTATATTTTGTCCAATATTGTTATTCAATCTGTTTATCAGTTCTTCTTCTTTAAGTGCCATCTCCGCGACGAAAGTTGGCAATCATCATGGCTATTCTGACCTTCGAGGCAGCTGCTCTGAACAATTGCATTGAACTGCAACCAAACCACTCTCTCAGGTTCTTCAACCAGGAAACGCGTCTTCTTCCTACGCTTCTCCTACCCTCTATTTTTACTTGAATTATGAGTCTCAAGATGTATATTTCGGCTCTCATCACATGTACGATGTGATGTACAATTTCCTTTCTTTTATTGTATTTTCCATTTCCCTCTCTCTGCCTATTCTCCTTAACACTTCTGCATTCGTGACTCTATCTACCCATGAACCTATCCAACGCCGCCATGTTACCTATCCAACGGTAACTTAACCATCACAAATTAGAAATACTAATAATGTAAAACAACTTCAAATTCATAACATTTAAAGGGTTTTTACCCATATATTTTTTGGTGGCTACTAGCATGTACAACCGTTTGCACTGATGATGGATTGTTTAATCCGAAAACGTTTTGCAATGTGTTTGTGATAGCCCGTTTGAGGCATTTTTATATACCTTTTATAAAGGATTTTAAACAAAATTTTTTTTTAATGATGTTAATTAAACTTCCGTTCACTTTTATGCCGACTGTCTCGTTTACAAAAGCTTCCTGTATGATTTCTTCAGAATAAGCATTAAACAATAACGGCGACAGTATGCAACCTTGCCTGACCCCTCTCCTTATCTCCACTTCTTCTGACACTTCTCTTCCAATTTTCACATTTTATCGTTGACTGTAGTATAAATTTGATATCAATGTTACATCTCTCACATCCAGATTCTTGTTTTTGAGTACTTCTATAAGTCGGGCATGTTTTACTTTATTGAATACCTGTTTGTATTCTATAAAGCATACATAAAGATCTCGATTAACATCCAAACATCTTTGGGTCAGCACGTTAAAAGAAAATAGTGCCTCTCTTGTGCCCATTCCATTCCGAAATTCAAACTGGGAATCACTAATATCCATATCCAGCTTAGCGTGTATTCTATTATGGATGATTTTTAGCAGAGTTTTTAAGGTATGTGACATTAGACTGATCGTTCGATAATAATCACTACATGCTTTGGCATTTACTTTCTTTGGTAGACAATTAAATGTTTATGTCAGCATTTCACGTGGAATGATTCCTGTGGAATAGATTGTGTTCAGTAGTTGGACTAAAAGATCTATGTTTTTTCCATTGATCAGTTTTAGCAATTCACTTGGTATTTCATCTGGACCAGCAGCTTTATTATTTTTCATGGACTTTACTGCATGCATAACTTCTGACTTTATTATTTCGGGTCCCTCGTCTTTACTCTGATTATTTTCATATATATTTTCCTGTCTCTGGTCATGGATATGATTATAGAATTCTATATATTCTTTCCATCTTCCTAATTGTTGTTCCGTCTCCAATAAAATGTTTCCTTGTTTGTCCAATAGTATGCTTGAGGTTTTTTGTTTTGCTACCCCAGCCAATTCTTTAACTTTCTTGTGGAGATTGAAGTTATCATATTTGTTTTGTAAATCTTCTATTTCTTGGCATTTTCCAGCGAAATAAGTCTCTGTAGCTTCTCTTATTTTCCTTCTTATTTGATTGTGCAGCTGTTGATACTGAGTTCTTCTGTCCTCCATCATTTCCAAGATTTCTTCTGTCATCCAATCTCCTTTCTTGTATCTGGTTGTTGTGAGTTCTCTGCGACTTGGTTAGATAATTGCATTTTTAAAGAATTGCCACTGTTGTTCTACATCACTATAAATTGATTTCGGTGTGGATTCTAGGTTTGCATTAATTTCTTTTTTCAGTTTTTCTTTGACGTCTTCTGATTTTAATTTTTGATGTTTAAATGAAGTTGGAGTTTTGCTACAAGAGGATTGTGGTCCGACGCCACGTCTGCACCTGGGTACGCTTTCACCGATTGTGTTGCGTTTCGGTAATGTGGTTTATTAAAATATAGTCAATTTGGTTTCTAACGATTTTATCGACCTTGTCAGCTGGCGATTTCCAAGTGTAAAGGCGTCGTTTAGGCAGTTTGAAGAAAGTATTCATTACCGCAAGATTATGTTCTAGGCAGAATTCTATAAGGCGTTCTCCTCTCTCATTTCGAACACCGAGTCCATATGGTCCTACAGTAGACTCACATCTTCCTTCTCCAACTGCGTTTATCAGTTCGCGTGATGTCAATTATAATTATGAAGTATTGCTTGTAGATATCAAACCACCTTTTAGTTTATAGTTTGGTCCGCGATTGGTAGTTGGTTTTCAATATCACATCAGCCAAAAAGGTGAAACGAACAATAGCATCCAAATGAAAGTTACCTTGGGAGTCTTTAAAACATTTTGGTTATCTGAAACACTGTAGAGGTTTTCCCTACGGCTATTTCTGCTGAGACAGTCCTGAACAAATTGTTTATGCGGTGTGTTTTTCTGCCTGAAACATAAATTTTGAATTTTGGCAGCCAGTGTATTTGTTCTGTCTAAATTTTATTATTTAATTGTAGGTCTCCAACAAGTTATGTCGACGCCGAAAGTAGCCACAGCCAACAAGCGTCTATGGGACAACAACTTCATATCGCCAATAATTGCCGAACCCACGTCAGACTCCGACCTCTCATCCAACGACGACTACAAAAGTGTCCGTTCCAGCGTATCATCAAAAACATCTCTGGACCAGTACGTTCCCAAGCAACCGAAAAGTCTGGGGTACCTACACGGTCCGACCGAAATCAAGATCAAAACCAATCAAAAATCAACATACACATCAGCCGCGCCCAAACCAGTACCCGTAGTTAGGCCTAACCCCAAAACGAATTCCTATTCCAACCTCAAACCCATGAATTCTAATTTGCCAGGTAGTTACTCAAATATTTATAAAATGAGTAATGCTAAAACTCAGTCCGTTAACGCGGCTTCCAATTTGAAAACTATGGGATCGAAATTAAAAGGCTCGTATACGAGTCTGAGGCCTATGAGTTCGAACTTACCAGTTGCTCCTCCTTTAATAAGCTCCAACACAACGATGACGTTAGCGAAAAGCAACAGTGTGCCACACAGCGTAGATTCCGCCACAAGGATAGTTGAAGTAAGTATTTGGTTTTTTTAAATAATAATTTGTATGCAGAGAATATTAATACTGGCAAAAGACAGAAATTTTATAATTTCATACATTTAATAATTCATTACTATGCTTATTCAAATATGCAAAAAAGTGAAAAATATGCGCATAAATATGCACTCATTTAGCCAAAAATATGCATTTTTTTTTTTAGAAAATATGCATACTGTCAATTAAAACATATACAACACATTTAACATATTTAATAATATATTTAATAATGGTATATTAATGTTTATTTTAATAATTAGAGAACAATATAAATAAATTTAAAAACTAAGCAGGTAATTGTAGTGTACTAATTAATTGTAATGAAAGTAGCAAAAAGGTAAAAAACCGTTCCTTAGAATTATGGAAACAATAAATGACCAATAATGTATTTCAAAATATTCCAATAAAAACTTATGACTTCTATCTGTATATCTTTCTTAAGGCTCATCCTCGAAAATCCTAACGGTAAATTTCAGTGGGCTATCTCTATTTCAAAAATTTCTTTCGGATCGGATTCGGATTTCGAACTAATAAAAATATTGCAATTTTTGTAGCATATTTTCCCACAGTTCCTTATATATCAATATTTTCGAATAAAATATTTTTTGGGGTCCATACCGCAAAATAACTGTCCTTGCACTGGATAGTAATAGGAATCAGTTTTTTTTTTAAATTTCTTGAAGGAAGGAATAATTTAGTCACGGTATGATTTCCAATTTTGATTTTTGATATTGAATTTGATAGGTTGTGGTTTATTACACCAAAATCTAATAAAATATAACATGACACAAGAAATAGTTTCAGAATAAGTTTGATGTGTTGTTTATTATCATTCAGTAAGAGACTAAATTACTAATTACAATACTAATCTAACAGACAATTGTTATTGTCAAATGAAAGAAATAAGATAATTTACTTGTGGTTAGTAAACGTCGGCCCTATGCAACTAATTGTCAACAAAGAACGGATTACAAAAGTTTAGATTTGAGATTTATGAGGAGCATTTATGAAATTTAGATGTATACTGAGTACTTATTTCAAAAATTTACAACTAAAAATTTAATTTGTTATATGTAAATATACTCCTAGATCTAGAGAAAATGGGAGTGCGACAATGGGAATTACTGGCACAGGACCGAGAAACATGGAAGGCAATAATAGTAACCGTGGCAAAGGCTCACGAAGTGTTGTAGCGCCATTAATGATGATGATGATGAAATATGCTATATTACTCTTTATAGGAATGTGAAACATGGATCATGAAGGATAATATGATGGACAATTTAGGATGTTCTTTAAAAAATTAAGGCAAATATCGAGCACAAATTTAATAATCAAATCTTGCCTAAATACTTTCGCTTTCTTCAGCATCATCAGGGGCATCTGAAATAAGCCAAGAAACGTTTTTTTAAATGAAGAAAATTAATTAACTTCGATAAAAAACTCGAATTTAATGGATGATAAAAGTTTTTCAGTGCCCTATTTCAAAAAAAAAAAATTTGACGTTTATTTTAATCAAAAATATTTAAAAAAAATTGTTTAAACAATTTATTAATTTACAACCAAATAGTGCACTAGAACTTTTTAAGACCTTTCATATAAAAAAGAATCATCTGAATATCTGCCATAGTTTTTGCGTTATTTGATATAAACTTTTACATTGGAATTTACCTATGCCCAGAATCGCGAGGATCGGCCTTAATATCAACATTTTATTAAAGCAATTTGGCTTAAATCGTAATATTTTAAAGAGTATGTATATGTATATATATATATTATATATATATATATATATATATATATATATATATATATATATATGTCTGTATTTTTCAATCAATAGTGTATTAATCCCATATAAACCCAATATTTAGTGAATTAACGTTTGGGGTAATCCATCCCAAGCCTTAACGACATATTTAACACTATATTTACTATGTTTTTGACAGGTACAACCAATACAAAGGGAAAAGATCGCCATAGGTGACAATTTGTTCGTTAAACCCCAACCAGTAAAGGCTAGTGGCTTACCTCGTCCTACGGGAATCCCCAGGCCTGCTTCTAGAATACCCGCCCCCCGTAGTAGTAATGTAAGGTAATGATTAACAGACACACTGATTTTTGTAAGGAAAAGTCCGTAAGTTTAATATATGTTTATATTATATATGGTATATAATATATGATGTGATACGTGGCGAAAGTTATTTTAAGACTATTTTATTAGAAAAACAAATTTATACAACAAATTATTATGTGTTTAAGTAATTTGGCTATGGTTTTGGTCTTAAGTTTCTATAATTATTTTTTTAATTTCTCGTTTAACATCTTATTGGTGATAAAAGTATTGTAACCTCAGATCGCAGATCATAAAATAGTTGAAACCACTAATATAAAAAAACTTAGTCAAGAATATGATGATGTTGACATTGTCCAATCCACAGTTCTGATAATATTATTTACAAATCCTAGTTTCATTAATACTAACTATCATGGTAAGTTTTTAAATACATTTTGGCGTTTGATGAGAGAAACAGCATTTTGTGATGTGTAATATCTCTTATTATTCAATATAATTTCCATGAACTTCAAATTCGTCCCAGTAATCTTCATATTTATAAATTTCCTTCCTAAAGTGCAAGACTGCCAAAATACACAGTCACAAATGATTTTGCCTCTTGTCCCGATGAAAATCTTAAAATAGAAGAACAGCCAAACGTCACATCGAGCCAAATCTGGCGAATAAGTTGGATCTTGCAAGAATTGCTACTATAATTTATTCATTTTCGACGTGATTTGTTGAGCAGCATGACCCAGTGTTTTATAAACTTTTTGTAAACCAAGACTTATTGCGTCAATTTGTACATCGAGCTGTTTCAAAAAGTTATAACTATAATCTGATTTGTTATTTTATCATTTGGGATATAATCCACGAGCAATATTGATTTGAACCATGAAAAATTGTGCAAACATTTTCTTGGTCGGTTTCTCTACCAGAACCCGGTACACACCACTTCTTGCCTCTTGTTGTGATTTAGGATATTGGTAGATCCAAATCTCATTCGTAGTGAGCAAATAATACAGATTTTTTTATTCTTCTTAAAACACTTCAAATGTTGTTGAGACAAATCTTCCAATACCATAATCTCTATCTTTCATATAATTGCTGGTATAGACACACTTTTCAAAATTATTTATGAATTTGTTTTGGTAAAACAAATTTTAAACAAACCCTTTAAAAACAAAAACTTATCAAACTTATCACTGTATGGTTCAGTATTTTCCATTGTAAAAGGATATTTTGACACGTTGAACAACTGTCAATAGACGAATAAGGTGACAGATGTACATAAAACTTCTCACGTTTTCATTAAACAATAGCTCTATATGTATAAAAAATCAAACGAAGAAATTAATAACGCTATCTCTTATCAAACGACAAAATATTCATACTATTTTTTACACATCGTATCTACTAAAACTATTTTTAGTAATCTTTGTTAAACATAGATGTCGCTAAACGAACGTACTAAAAAAACTTTTAATGATCTAATTGATTCTTGATCAAATATGGAAAAGAATAAAAACGTATGTAAAAGATAAGACTGTTAATTTATAAATAAATGTTTGGCTTTTGCATAAATTTGTTTTTCCAGCAATCAATTGAAAAAGCATATAATTTTAAAAGTTATTCATAAATCGTAAATAAATGTTTTATATTTTTAGTAGACAAATAGAGGGTTGCATAAATATTCATTGAAGAAAATAGCGACACCATGTAACACACAATATTTGCTAAGTGTCGTTTACGTTTTAAGTTAATAAAAACATTACTAAACCCATAAATACTTTTGTCAAACTGTCAGATAAACCAAAGAACATCAATAGCAGTGGGATAATATATGATTTTATTAGGTTTGTTCTAGCAAACAGACAAACTAGTCAGAAACCGTCAGCAAACAGTTGGTCAGCGAGAGAAAATAATACAGTCACCAGTGCTATATCCCCTCTACTCGTACTGGTCCACTATTCGCTGATGGTTTCAAACCATTTGAAACTGAGGCTAGAACAAACCTATTGTATTTAGACAATCTAATGACCTATATCAAATTTTGAGGTTATATTTTGAGTTCAAATATGACTGTCTTCATAAAAATGTTTATGTAGCAAGGTATTTCCAACAATCAGTTATAAATAATATCAAACAATGAGTGACATATTCATTGACATTTAATATTTCTGAAAACTGCTAGATTGTTTGTAACGGTTTTTGTCAAAAAAGCACCTGCTGTCAACTAGTGTTCTGTCAATTCGAAGTGTCATGGCTTGATAGTTCATTTGGCGAACATTTATGCAACTGACTGTTTACTGCGTACTTTTTAATGATCCGTAGTCAATGCTCAAAATACTGGATGCTTTCCTAATCTAAACTAATTCAGACTGTTAACTAAATAATAAAAATTAAATATATCTGTTATTTATTTGTGTAGAATAGATTTGTTGTGTTTCACCTTCTTCTATGATAAAATATATTTTGTACTAGTTTGCAGATGTATAAAGCTTTTTCTCTTCTAGACAAATATTAGTGACTTGTAAGTTGGAAAAGACAAGTGAGAACTGTATAGGATTTGTTTTCATGTAATATAGTTCATTTCAAGTTACTATAAGACTGACCTTTTTGCCAAAAATCAAATCAACGAAGTTACCATCATATTCGTTATTAATCAACACTTTGGACATACTTAATTACCTCTATCGTATGCTTGATGTACCAATTTCGTGCTTCTTAGGATCTAGAACCAAGTTTCACCATCATCTTCATCCATTTATTATCCCTAATTCGAGATAGGAGCTCTTGTACAACTCTGTCGAATGACTTCGCCTGGTCAATAAATATTATTACCAATGACACCAGTCCTGTATATTATGTATGTTTATAATGTTTATGTCTTTATTGTCGATTTTTTTATTAATTTTTTTTAAATGTTTGCAATTTCAGAGCTAATATTTGAATAAATTGTTAACACTTCATCTAAAACTGATAGCAAACTGAAAATAAATGACGGTAAAGTTGACAATCAGTTATCAGTTATGCTCAAGATGTTTGTAAGTCAAAATATAGCGGCTATTTTAGAGCTGGTTTTTAGACACTTTTTTTCTCTACACAGTAACGAAGTAAAAATACATGAAAATAGTAATTAAAACGTTCATATAGAATTTCTAGCGATTGACTGGTTCAATTCCCACCATCTTATACAAGTATTCTTTTCTTTTTCTTGTTACAAGTCACAACAGTACACTACTTTATAAGAACACCGTGTATATATTGAAATTTGACGATCTTTTTTACAATTTATAAAATTGGCGTACCAAAAGTCACTGTATATTTTTTAATAGTGTATATCGCGTAAAAGTACTGCATTTTTAACGGAACTGGTCGTAGAATAATATATTTTTTGAAGTGGTATATCAAAACAGTATTGTCATAGAACGAAAGAGATTATACTTAAATATAGCTGTATTCACTTAACACGTTCACTGCCAAGGTGTTACAAATAACTGTTGACAAATATTATTGACAGTGAAAGTGTTAATAGTTTATTAAAATTAATAGGAGTCATTTTTTTATCGTTATTAAGAAACAATTTACAATATACATATTCGAAAATTTCCGGGACATTCACTGTGACCCTATTTCTTATAGTGGATTTTTTGAAAATGAATTATATTATTATAAAACTGTTGTGTACTGGTAACTGTTCACAACTAAATGTTGAACACAACAAAAAATGGTAATAATTTAAGTAATTGTAATTTATCGTTTATGATCAAAAAATTCTCCTAAAAATGATTTTACATCCTTAAGAATAATCTGAGAGATTTAATTAGGCATTTACATTAATGCATGATGAATAATTCTGTCTCAGAAGATATCTGTGTTGTAAATCATATTGCTATCATACAATGCAAAAAATTAAATTACTACCCCGCAAGTGTTCTATTATTTTATGTGTACAGGACTGCTTCAGCAGTTTCCGACGATAAGATGCCGTTATTGTGTTTCTAGTCTCATACAACCGATAGAGATTTAAATGTAATTACTATTCTAATGGGAATAAGCCACAATTAAAGTTTAAAATAAGTTTATTTGCTTTCGAAATTCAGAAATTTGAAGTAGAAATTGAAACGTCAATAAACTTATTTTAAACTTTAATTGTGGCTTATTCCCATTAAAATAGTAATTACTTTAAGATGCCATAAGAAAATAACTTCAGAACAATATTAAATGTAATTGTAAAAGCTCTCGTAATCTATATGAGACAGTATTTATGTATTTATATGCTTATTATGCTTATTTAAGTATAATCTCGTATTTTTAGTAACTATTGTAGCCTAATGCAATTTATTATACAAAAAATGGCTTAAATAGTTTGTAGTTTTCAGTCTCTACAATATCAAATCATTACTCATATCATTGTTGTGAACTTTTCAGTTATATCGCAGATTTTGGATTATTTGGACAATTATTGTATATATATAATATATAACATAATCACCTAAAAATCCAAACGCAGTATTTACTGGAATATTTAAATCCCAAATATTCTGCTGACTACCTTAACAAACAGTTCAGGAATCTCCGAGAGATATTCCTAGATAAGGACATATTTTTGGTCATTAGCAGCATGTTATGTAAATATAAAGTAGGGATAATCGTCTTAGCACAATCGTTACTGGACTGTTAAAATACAAAAAATTCTTCTGGTGCTCATAGTCTTAGATGGATACATCTTTATTGGTCTTTCAGAGCCGCTTGTTCTGATTCATTTATCGAACGTCACTTTATATACACAGTTCCATACCTGTTTCTATATGATTATTCTGGAAAATTCTACTAAACTAATATGTATGAATCTATGAAAAATGTAGATTCAAGAATACTAAGTGGTGAATAACGATATAAAAGTGTTTAGTGGAGCACCAGCAATACGCACAAAGGTTTTAATATTTAAAATTGCAATTTTCAACACTGAGTCTTGCTTTACATTATCAAATTCCTTTTGATAGTCAATAAAGCAAATCAAAATATACAGAAGTTGTAGCCTTCTTCGTAGAAGATACATTACAGGTAATGTATATGTTTGAGCCATCCTGTATCTCTAGAAGGTTTGGAATATTTTATACTACGTAAAGATAGAGTAATAGTAATTGAAATTAATTTTCAATTTATTCTTCTTGGCAAAAAACATAAGTAGTATTGCTTTTGTTTTGTTTGACAATTGACACATCAAGATTAGAAATTATCTTAAAACTATTCAGAGCAATGATCTGTATTGTTGGTGGCCTACATTTGAAATAAGTTTTGAAGTATTGACTATCCATAAACGTAGACCATCCACACACTCTTAACACTTAGACTGCCGCCATAGTGAAAAAAAGAGGGTCCTTCCAGCCGGACATATTTCTATCCCATATAAGTAACATACAAGCGAGAATCAAAAGCTGATTCTCGCGGCAACAGAATCAAATTGGCCGTGCATCACGGCATGCTTCTCATGGCAGTCAAAGTGTTAAAAAAAGATGAATAATTTTACACTGATGTCCAAAAAAATCTTAGCAAATACTGTATATGCAGATTTAAACTTTTTAAGGTGTATAGTTTAGCCATTTCCACGGATCGACATTTAAAACTTAACTTTGTCATTGTTTTAATTTTACGAATTTTATAATCTCCAGAATAAAAATTAAACAAGTATTACATTTAATATGAAATTGTATGAATTTACATAAAATCAGAGAGTTTGCGAAAAATGTCGTACAATTAAGTCTAAACGTAAAACCAACTCTTTTCCAAAATCAAACAGTGACAAATAGCTACAATATTTCCTACTATATTTTTATGTGATTGCCTGGTTAGAGATTTACAACCGATTAGACCAGTTTCTCTGAATAACTGTACAGACTTTATTTACAAATCCGCAACAGGTGCAGAAAAGCTGGTGACGGATTTGGGTTTAGCGTTATATATATATAACATTTAATTACGGGAAAGCATGTTCCTACTTACTGACAGAAATTGTTATAGCGACTAGTACCTAGGAGGAACAATATACACTTTTCTACCTATATACTGTTTTATATCGCTTATCCCACTTTAGAAAAGTTGGTGTTGCCTCTTTTTTTACTGTATCGAATCACATTTGTTAAATTCCTTTTCTTATCCAATAGCAACTATTTAAAACTGAAAAGTTCACAATTTGCCAATTATGCTTACACTTCCTGATGTAAAATCTGTACACTAAAACTTTTGTTCCAGATGTATCCACTAATGTAATAATTTTGCCATCTAAATCTACTAAATGTTGTTCTGTCAACTCAATCATGAGTTTTATGTATGAGGGGTTGAGAATAATAGTTTATTTACATAAATCAGTCAATTTCGCAATACTCGCGCATGTCATTGTTGAAAGTGTTATTCCTGAACTTTTACATAATAAAAAAAATCATTAGGATTTTTATTTTATTTTTTCGTATTGATTTTTGTTATCAAGTATTATTTTTGCAACAGGTAAGCCCTAACCTTCCTTATCAACTCTCAACTTGGGCTTGGGACCAGCTGCGTTTACTATCAAGCTACTTGGTCCACTCGACAGCTACCCTAGGTAGTCAAAAACATAGATCGCAATAGAATTATTTCTACTATTTTTGCATTGATTTGATACCAACATAGTGTATAATTGTGTCGTGTATCAGTCCATTTGAAAAATCTTGAACCGTGAACTGTCTTTAATTGTAAACACTGTATCGTATAGAAGGCGGCAAATTCAAATCACACGTAAATTTTTGAACCAGCCGTTATATAATTTATTAAATAGGTAAAAAGAAATAAAATAAGACTTACTCACAATCAATTTAATTTTACTACTAAAACGACCGGTTTCGTTTTCTACACTTTGCAAAGCATCTTCAGGCAAACGCTACGAAGTAAATTAAATGCTGAAATTATAAAAAGTCCATATTAGGGTGCTGTCTTATAAAGATAAAGATAAAAATTACAGTAATTATGCCAATATTACATGTCTGTGTTCATTAATATGAATAAAAATTTATTAAGGAGACAAAGTAAAAACCCACAAATTGGTTAATGATTCGGAAAACATAGGTCAAATTATCCTGTATTGCTGATGATGGGTGATCTTCGATTTTATTCTGTTTGATAATAATTAGCGGGGAAGGTTCTTGAGGGGTTCTTTATCTTCAATAAAACCGAAGATCACCCATCATCAGCAATACAGGATAATTTGAACTATGTTTTCCTAATCATTAGCTAATAATTCTTGTTCCGCCATCTAAGTAGTATTTTGTTTATTTACTAATTTATTACAATTCACTACATTATCTTATACTAATTTGTGGGTTTTTACTTTGTCTGCTTAATCAATTTTTATTCATATTAATAAACACAGACATGTAATATTGGCATAATTACTGTAATTTTTATCTTTATAAGACAGCACCCGGATGTGGGTTTTTTTTTTTAATTTTAGCATTTAGTTTACCTTGTACCGTTTGACCCGAAAATGCTTTGCAAAGTGTAGAAAGCGAAACCGGTCGTTTCGGTAGTAAAATTAAATTGATTAAGCCTTACTTTATTTCTTTTTACCTATTTGAAATGGACTTACACAGGCAACACATTCATGATTTGAATGTATTATTACTTAAATACTTCATTCCTGTACATTTATTGTTTTATATTTTTCATGATTTATCGTTTGTTCATATAGATGCAGCATCCCTAATTCACAAAAATTTTATCAGAAAAGTTATTCTCAACCTTCATTTATAATTACTTGCATTTTATTTTTATATGGAACATGTATCTTGGCCTAATATAAAGTGTTTATGATCACAGAATCTGAAACATAGCAATAATATCAATAACGCTCATCATCTTATTATGTAGAGAAGCTTTAGAGCGATGTCGTACTGTGATGCCATTGTTAAATGCAGCGTTGCCAACGGCGCGACCACGACGTCAGAAAAACAAGATGCCAGAATTTTAAAGTTGACACCAGTGATCATGGCATGAGTTTGTAGGAAGCAAAAATTCTTCATTTAAAATATATTTTTTGTTCTATTCTCCGGCCATATTCTCTAAACTGTTGCTTTTTATTGTAAATATACCTATAAACTGTTTTCTATAGGTATATTTTTTTCTGTTTTGTACATTTTTTTATAATCTGGTCATGTGTTCTGTACCTTAAATTTCTTTTTATGATTCTGACTTATTTTCCAGTAGTATTTGTTATCTAAGGTATTTTTTCTGTTTAAATTTAAGTTTTCTCTAAATTCAATGTTTTAGTAGTTTCGCCTTCTGGGTGTTGGATATTGTTATTGCCAAAATTCTGTTATTTGATTTTAGATTATGTGGTAGTCATCCATATTTCCACATCCATTCGTTTCTCATTCTGTATCATCTTCTTGCTTTTTATATTTTTTCATCCAGAATAAAGTTGAAAGTATTTGTTATTGAAGTGAAACAGTCTACAATCAGTGAGTTATATCTGGATGGTCCAGTATTTTCATTGTAAAATGTAAAAATATTTCAAAACAACACAGTGGAAATTATGGGTTTCTATAGTTTGATAACATTTTGGGGGAAGAGATTAGCTAATTCTACACTTTTTTTAGTTTTACATTTGTGAAAACAAATAGAAATGTTGTATCGTTGCTGCGAAGAAGATTTCCATTAATCACATCGCGCCAAGTTTTGATATGATTTTATGGCAACACTGCATTCACGTCACGTATATTTAATGTTGAGATAGCGGTGTTGCCCTATTTAACGTAATGTTTTGCCACGCTGTCATTATATTTGGCAGGACATCTAGTGAAATATGGCTCTTGAGCGACACTATGCGTACTCTCTTAACATTTTCGTCATTTTTTAGGCCAAATTCTTGGAGTTCTGCGGATTCCTTAAGTGAAACATGAAAATTAATCAAGTAACAAGTATATAGTTGCTGTTTGTGCCTTATATTTGTATCCGAGCTTTTTAATATAAGTATTGTAAAGCATATCTCCTAGCGTATTGTTTTTCTTTAATTTTGTTAAATATACGATTAATATATTTATTGAATAATATTCTCGTTTTAGTATAATATAAATATGTATATTGTGAGCGTTTGTACCTATTTAATTGACTTGTTTTTATACCAAAAATGTTTGATAGAAAGTATAAAGTAACTTAAGTATCCCAATTGAAGTTTTCAACACTACATTATATGTTAGCTCTTGCTATACACGAGATTCTTCGACATTAATCTGTTGTTAGTAATAAAACGCACGATTTTTATTATTTTTCGCGTTTTCAACTTTTTTACCCCTTCCAAAAGTTATTTTGGTTGAGTTCCTCAAGAGAGTGTAAAGTTTCGGTCATAATCTCAAGCGATAAATATGGTAATAAAGTAATAATAGTCAGACTAGGCTAAATCTGGCGTGTATGGTGGATGGCAGATCAATTCGTATCCCAATTAATGTAATTTTGTCTTTACAACAGCAGCCTTGTGCGTGGGTGCGTTATTTTGATTGATTTTTTTTGTGGACGAACCTGGATTCTCAGATCGGTGTGAAAACTGTCCAATAGAGCTGCACAGTACATCCCAGTTATTTTTGCACATTTATTCAAGTCGTAAATGTAAATAATATCGTTCACGGTTTTTTTAACGTTTTCCAAAGATTCTCTAACAATTTTGACACGTGTTGGATGACAATTAGTTCAACCCTAACGCCATCTATTGAAGGCTAGATTAATGTCAAAACACCGTACTCTGAAACACTTTTAATGTGACGCAGTATTATAACGATTAATTTATAAGGTTAGAAATTATCTTATTAGACTCAGTTTAGCAAAGCAAAGCTCAGCAAAGTTTTATTTTAACATTATCTTGATGTCAATATCAATGTTTATATTCGTTTACAAAAGTTAAAGATGCTGTTGGCATAGTAAATTATTATGAGCTTCTAGATATTCTAAAGAAGATAAACTGGAGTAGTTGAATAATTGCCAATTTTTACGAGTTTTAGTTATCTTGATGTTAATATTGATGTTTACGTTCGTGTACATCAGTTACAAATGCTTTTGGCTCAGTAAATCATCACGAGGTTCTAGTAATTCTCAAGAAGGTGGACTGGGCAAAAGAGGTAGTCGAATAATTGCCAATTTTTATGAAAGTTTTAGTTCTACGTTGCCTTCATATGTATACTTGTTCAAATCGATTGAATAATGCTTTTGACACTGTAAATAATAAGCTTAAAAAAGTGCCCAAGAAGATCTAGACAGAAGATATAGATAACTAATTGCCAATTTTCATGCCAGTTTTAGTTCAGCATTGTGAAGATGCTAATATTGTTGTTTATATTTATTTACACCATTTAAAAAAATGCGTTTGGCGCAGTAAATCATGATGAGCGTATATTTGGACAAAAGATTTAGTCCGATAATTTCCAATTTTTATCACAATCTTCTTGGTATTGTTATCATTTGGTACAGTAAATAATACAGAAATGATCAAATGACGTAGGCAAAGTCAAACAGTTAGTAATTTGGTAATGAAGGCAGCTTATTTTATCGCAAGAAAAAATTATTCATCATCAGTGAGTAGATTATCAACATAGCATGTATTAACACCTTTTATATTCTTTGTCAATAAAAAACTCGAAAAAGGACTATAATTCGTCTACCGAACAGACGGAGTAATAAAAATGCGTGATCTGCACGTGATTGTTGAAAAGCGACAGTCAAATTACTTACTTCGCAGAAGTTGTATCGGTCAGTTATCGGTATTGCATACAAGGGCGTACGTTAAGGTATTTTGAAGAAATATTGTGCTTTGTGTTGTGTTATTGTGTTAATTGTATTTATTTTATATGTTAAGACTTATATTGTGTATTGTACATTTTTGTGTTTTGTAAAGAAATTAGGTAAGTACATATACTAATACAGATATTGATCAAAAAACTATTGTGGATGTAATCACGCAGTATAAAAATGTATAAATTATTTCTGAACCTGAGAATATATATTAAAAAACAAGTTAGTCAAAGCGTAAAAATAATTTGTAAAATAAATATCTATATCACTGCCTTATTTTAGATATGGATAACCAACAGCAAAATAATGCGCAAGTTGAACAATTCGTTCCAGAATCTCCACCCAGAAAACGAAGACGAACACATTTATCGGTGTCAGAGAAAGAAACAATTTTAAATATTTTTAAAACTGATAGACAAACTCGTCCAAACACGAATCAGACGGAATCTGTGAATTTTGTTTCAAGTGCAGCGGGTAAGATGTTAAGTTTTTTTATTATTTTTTTATTATATTGTATTTATTTTCATATATACTATTTTATATATTGTTATACTATATTGCGTATTTGTTCTAGGGGTAGCAGTGAGCACAGTTTTTAAAGTGTTGGCGGAATATAGACAAACTCGTGTTTTTTCTCCTCCAAAAAATATCATAGGACAAGAAAAATATTAGATAATATTTCAGATGCTACTAAAACATCAATTCGGAGGAAAATTCATGAGTTTTTTTTTAGAAATGAGCTTCCAACACTAAATAAAATGTTGACTGAAATTAATAACGACGTCAATTTGCCAAATTTCAAACGAGCAACATTTGCTAAATTGGTTAAGGAAATTAACTTTCAGTAAGTAAAAATGTGTTACAAATGAATTACAATATCAATTACATAACGTTTTTTGTTTTAGTTTTATAACCAGAAAAAAGAATAGCATCTTAACAGAAAAAGATGAAATAATCTCCTGGAGACGTAGGTATCTACGCGAAATCAAAAAGTTGAGAGAGGAAGGGCGGAAGATTTATTATCTAGACGAAACCTGGGTAAATGCAGCTCAAACTACCAGCAAAATATGGGTGGATGAAAATATTAAAAATCCCAGACAAGCCTTTTTGGAGGGTCTGTCAACTGGGTTAAAATCTCCCTCTGGTAGTAAAGGTAAACGTCTAATTATATTACATATTGGTCAGAGGATGGATTTGTAGCAAATAATGGTTTGTTGGTCTTTGAATCAAAAAAGGATGGCGATTACCATTCAGATATGAATGCTGAGGTGTTCGAAAACTGGTTCAGAAATATTTTGCCACAATTAGCAAAAAACTCTGTGATAGTTATGGACAACGCTTCGTACCACAGTAGACGTATTGATAAATTCCCTACATCAGCTACAAAAAAGGCGGAAATACAAGCATGGTTGAATAGACACGGCATAGCCTTTACGGAAGATATGGTTAAAGCCGAATTGCTAACATTAGTAAAGGCCAATAAACCAGCTGACCGATATGTTACAGACGAAATGGCTGCAAGAAAAGAACATTATGTTTTACGTTTGCCACCTTACCATTGTGAGTTTAACCCAATTGAGTTGATCTGGGCCCAAATCAAGAGAGAAGTGGCAAGAAACAACACCTCTTTTAAAATTGCTGATGTCAAACATCGTTTTTATGAAGCAGTGCAAAATGTAACAGCACATAATTGGCAGAAGGCAATTGAGCACGTTAAAAAAGAGGAATCAAAAATGTGGGAAACTGATAGAATAATGGAAATCACCGTCGAACCATTAATTATTAATCTTAATGATGATTCCGAAACTTCCACTTCCGACAGCGAATAAAATTTCTTAAAATCGCAATTAATTAAGACCAAACATTCTTGCCCTTTGACAAGTGAAGAAATGGAGATCGCACTTAAAGACGTTTCACCGGAAAAAGACCTAGGTTTCGACGGCATCCACCCCGAATGCATACTCAATTGCATTCAGAATCCCACGGGAATTTAAACATTCAAAATTCATAGCAATACTAGAACCAGATAAACCAGTTGATCACACAAAAAACTATCGACCAATTTCTTATAATATAAATCTTATAGTATAAACTACTTGAAAGATTAATGTTTAAAAGAATCAGCCCAACGATCTGCAGCTTTCAACACAGTCTGACCAGAAGGAATGATTTATAGACTCTTACGTACTCTGCCTTGCAAATTCACCGCTAGACTAATAGAACATCACCGTCAAAGTATTTCAAGTAACTATGGGATCCCAAATAAGCACTCCCAGAAAACTCAAAAATAGTCTACCGCAAGGCTCGTTACTCGCAATATTGCTTTATAGCCTTTATATCGCAGACATACCGATTACATCAACAAAGTTTAGCTATGCTGATGACTGGGCTTTATTAACACCAACAAAATCACAAAAGAAGCTGAAGAGATTCTGACGGAAGACCTAGCGATTATGGGACATTACTTTCAAAAATGGAGACTTCGCCCCAATGACTCTAAAACTGAAGTAACCTACTTTCACCTAAACAACAATCTGGAGTCAAGAACACTACTTAACGTTCTTTTGAAAACACATGACTCAACCACAATAAACATCCAAAATACCTAGACGTAGTTTTGGACAAACCGGTAAGCTTTAGAGAAAATTTAAGTATAGTTGCTAAGAAGCTAAAAACCAAAAATAACATAATTCAGAAGCTCTGCGGCACAAAATGGAGGCATCGGTATCTAGACTCAGGTCTTCAGGCTTAGCTATTGTTTATTCTCTAGCTGAATATTGCATATCAATATGGATCAACAGTACTGATGTTCAAAAGATTGATATCCAGCTCATCCAAACCTACACCAACCCATTTAGTACCAATGCTGACCATTACACCTTCGCCGACTCAATCTGCTGACCAAAGTATATAACAAGATCCTTAGCAACACGGCGCTGCCGATTCACAACTATATAAAAGATGCAAACCAAGGTCGACTGCCCTCCAGAAAATCTCCAATACAAACCGCAGAATTAGCTGCAGCTACCGAGTTCAACATGACCACCAAATGAATCTATGAATGGTCGGAACCTGAACCAAATACAGTTATACCTTTTATCACAGAGACACCTCCTGAATTTGACCTATCACCTAAGACCTGGTGCACACTTTAAAGCATCAGTAGGGTAAGCTACCATTACGTACACATTTAAGTTTACATGTGTATAATGTCCACATTGCCTAAAGTTAGCCTATAGTATTTTGATTGCAATTTCTCCCCAT